CGCGGGGATCCTTTTGTTCGTTACTATTGGAAACAACTTCTGAAGCGCTTTCTCTGAACGCACACTGTCGGTAAGATAAATAATAAATAGACCGTTTTCTCATGGTTACGTAATAATAATAATAATGAATCTTTATTTATTCTCACTAAATATGATAGCACACAAGTGCTAGTTTGAGCGAGATAAAGAATAAATAGCTATGATATTGAAATATTAAAAAAAGAAAAAGATAAACAGTAATATAGATATAAAGATATGTAAATACAATTAAGATATATATTAATAAATAAAGTCACTGGATACTAGTAACATAAATTTTTGAAATTTGGTTTCTGAAAGAACTAAGCTTAGTACATGTAGACGTTTTTATATTATCCATCAGAGAGTTCCATAATTCAGGCCCTACGTATCTTATGGACTTAAGTCCATATGCTGTTGTATTAATTTTAGGAGTAGTAAAAATATGAGACCCCCTAAGATTGTAAGGTGAAATACGTAATGAGAATAAATCATTGACATATGATGGAGCTAGATCATTCAATGCTTTTTAAAAGAACTAAAATTGCAATATTTTGGAGTCTGCGGTTATACAATGTTGTCTTGTTGGCCTTGTTTAATAGAGAGTGATAATTACTATCCCTATCTTGATAAATACTTCTTAATGCTCTTTCATTTAGTTTGTCGGAGTCACTTTTTAAGCAAAATTGCCACACAGTAGCACAATATGTAAGATGTGAAAGAATGAATGAATTGTATAACTTGATCTTAGCATCAAGAGAAATAAGGCGTTTGTATGATCATGATTATGATTTATGATTTATATAGCGCCCTTTAATATGTGGATATAATCAAAGGCGCTTTACATGGAGTTGTGAATGACAGATTGCTTTATGCAATTTACAAGCATGAGAGATGGTTAGTATGAAGTGTAGGCACTGAGGGTGGTCACTGCCAGGGTTTCTTTTTACGTCCTCATTGGTTCTTTTATGTCCCCCATTTTTACTGTAGGTTAGGAAGGGTTAGGAGACAGGGCCTACGGTTTAAAGTCCTTGTCCGAGAAGACTTGAAGGTCTAACCATTTGCAGATATTATTACAAAGGCAGCACCTTCTCCTCAGTTATTTTAAGACCCTGAGTGTTCGTCCGGCCGAGGCTTGAACCACGACCTCCCGCACAACAGACCGACGCTCTTACCAACTGAGCTAACCGGGTGGCGGTATCCTTTAAAGACACTCATTTGTCTACTAATTTTGCTACAAAGGCCAGCAATATGTTCATGAAAATTTAGGGAATTGTCAACAGTAACTCCAAGTAATTTAATATTGTTCTTTTGTTGACGTTCTTGATTGGCCACTTTAAACATGAAATGGACAGAGGATCGACCAGGAGCCAGACCAAAGCTTTGAAACTTGTCTGCATTGGCCTTTTGCGGAATTCTTGGAAAACCATTCAAGTGTTTCCTGCAGGCTATCATTAATAGTTGCCTCAATGGTCATTGGATATTCATGGCTGAAGTGAAGCTGGTTGTCAACTGCATAAGTGTTTACCTTGATTTTTGGTAACACAGAAGTAATGAGGACGAGCACGTAAATCCTCCTAAATTTAATTCGGCTGAAACTTAAATGGAACAGTCTTCAAGGGTATAATAATCACTGGTTAAAAGCTTTTTTCTTTATATTCCAATGGGTAGTATTATATTTTTACGAATTTCTATAGGTGTCTGTGACGTCAAACACTCAACACTAGACATTGCTCCATACATTTCTTTGTAAATAACTTCTTGTACTTTATTTCTATTAAGCCCAAAGTTCCGCTGAGGGACTTAAAGTACATTACTTGTGGTTAGAATCGTTTTATGGTATTTTTTCTTCAATACTAAGTATAAAACTAGAAGATATTTTGATTACAAAATACAAAGAAATGTATGGAGCGATGTTTAGTGTTGAGTGTATGACGTCACATACTCCTATAAAAATTCGCAAAAATATATACTTGCCATCCGAATATCAGGGAAAAAAACTTTATGCAGTGATTATTCGACCTTTAAGGCTATTCCAGTAAAGTTTCAGCTGAATTAAAATTCGTACGATTTACGAAATAGTCCCCCTTTAGCGAAGATGTTAAATAGGAGGGGTCCCAGAACAGACCTCTGTGGCACTCCTCTCGAGACCACTTACCATTCAGAAAAGCTGTCAGAGATTTTAACATGTTGTCTACGTTCAAAGAGAAAACTTTTCATCAATCCAATATTTTTTAGATGAAAGTCCATATGCTTCAAGTTTTGCCAGAAGAAGGTCACGAAGTGGTAGGCTATAAAAAGCTTTGCTGAGGTCTAAAGATACTACACCCACAGATCGTTTGTTGTCAAGGATGTACTTCCAATTTTCAATTTGGTCAATGAGCGTAGTATCGCATGGTGTTACCTGACTAGACTTCCACGCCATTGACACACATCTTTTTTCAAGATTTCTTTTTAGTTTCATCTATCCCTTTTTGAAATCTATTCAGTTTCCTATCGAAGTGTTTCTTTCTATTCTAACTTTTTTCGGATCCTTAAACTAACTAGCATATTATTTACAGTTTAAGATGATTACATACGGTGTTACCCTCTAGATGATTACATACAATGGTGTATTATTTACAAAATACATACAGAAATGCAAAATTGAACGATTACACAAAAACATATTAAAGCGTATAACAACACTTAATTACAGCCGTCCTTATCTTTTAATCCTTTGCTTTTAGCATGCTCCCAATATATATCATATGATATTATACAAGAGAATATGAACTAAGAGAAGGAATCCTGCCTATATAGCCTTGTAACCATCATGTGCGCAGTTTGATGCTATTTTTAGCTTGGAGATATTTTGAGTGAAGAACCTGATTGGTTGATTTCTTGAGGGTAGGCGGCTTCCAGTCTTGCAGTAAACAAAAGCCTGTGTTTTTGTCGTGGACGAAACGAAATATGGCGCTTTTCGTGTTCAAAAACGTGGCATTAAAGTGAAGCATGATTATCGCGCGGGTATGGTAACGAGTTAAAAATAGCATCAATGATTCTAAAAATAGCATCAAAGTGTGCACATGATGGGGCACGGGGATTCCTTCTCTTGGTTCATTTTCTCTTGATTGTATAAATCCTCAATTGCATTTATGTTACAATCTGAAAATTCCTTATAGAAATAAGAACTATTTGCAATTTTGATGTATTTGTTGTTCCATATGTTGACATACTTCTGTATAGGTTGTTATCATTTTACAGGCTTTTTCTGACCATGCGCATAGAATCGATTTAAAGAAAGTAGGCATACTTTTTAGGCATACTGGGAAAGAGCAGGGTTGTTTGCTGTACAAATATGTACAATTACTTCCAAAGCCTTTTTCTGTTCTCGTGTTCAGAATCATCTTATGTAAAACTTTAAAATATCTTTAGGACAATCTGTTCTCTTTTAATTAAGCTAGCGAACACCATCGACCGATTTCCAGGTTCAGCTACTAGAACTCAGTGCTCGTACTTTTTCCTTAAGTTGACCTGTCTCAAGCTCTTACGTCAGTACAAACCAGTTATGTAATGTATTGCGTGAGCTTAGCCCTTACATACGAGCTCACTTAGAGCTATAGTCCAGAATTGATGAGTTGCAGTAGAGTTACAGTTGGAGTTAGAGTCGGAGTTGAAGTCGCAGCTGGTCAAGAGTCATAACCAGAGTTCAGAGGAGTTCGTTGTAAAGTTCTACATGTAGCAGAAATAAAGAAGAAGAAGGAAACGAAAAGCGACCAAAATCTTTGTGTCCGATTGGGAAAGTATCACTCCCCCACTTCCCTCTCGTGACAGATTAACCTTATAGTCCACATTATTTTTTTAGTTTTAATGATTGCGTGGAAATCTTGACATTTTAATTCCCCTTCGAAGTAATCACCAATTAATGTATCATATTTAATTTTTGGTTTTCTGCCGTTCCAAGGAACCCCAACTTGACGGGCCACGATACCAGAACAATGAGAATTGTCATACTTTTCTATTAAATGTTTTCGATAAGAATTCATAACAGCGATTATTTCTCAATTGACACGGTTTTCTTTGTTATTCACAAGGCTTTATTTTTGTTATAACCCTCATTATAAATGCGAGGTCAATATATAGTTATTAACCCGGTTAATAACTATATATAGACCGTTCGCATTTATAATGAGCAACATTTGATAGAAAACCTTCTCAATTGAGAAATAAAATACTTAATTACCTCGAACGTTGGCAATAAGCCTATACATGGCTATATGGCTTATTGCCTCCATTCTCGGTAATTAACTCTTACTTATTCTCCTCTTTATATATAAAACTGGCTTCTCAATTTTCACTGAATTTGCGTTAGTCAATTTTGTTGCCCGTCAAGTTGGATGCGCACGCAACCTTGAGAAAATTCTAGAACGATACTGAGTAACGACACTTTGTTGCGGTTTACAGCTGGCTTTCTCGCGGGCTCTGAAAATCCCTTCCCGTGTAGTCTGTGTGTTGCTAGATTCTGATTCTCCCTTGAATTTACAGCGACAACAAGTTCCTTCCTTCTCTGAGCTCTCCCGTTTCAAATGGGCACTCAAACTCTTTTTTTATTGCTATATCTTGTCTCACTGGCTAGGCATATCTTAACTTCAAAAATGTTGTAAAAAATTCTCTGCAATCCCTTTCCTCCTCTGAACTCCCCTGTTTCAAACGAGCACTCACTTTTAGACTCTTTTTTTATTGCTATATCTTGTCTCACTGGGTTGGCACTTCTTAAGTTCAAAAATGTAAAAATTCCCATAAGCTCCCCCGTTTCAAATGGGCACTAAGCCCTTTCTTTATTGCTATATCTTTTCTCACTGGGTTGGCATATCTTAAGTTCTTTTTATACAAAAGGTTCCTGAAATAAACGATGGCATGCTGACTAAATGGACCGAAATAGTACCATCAACAACCGGACTATAAAGTATCTTCAATATCCCGCAAAGCCACAATACCCAACTCAGTAAGTGAGAAAACTTAGATAAGTAAGATAAGTAAAATAAGTAAAATAAGTAAGATAAGTAAAAAAATAATAACGCTCCGTGAGGCTTGCTCTAATCAGTTTATTGTCTTTAGCTCAAAAAAGTATTGACCTCAAGGAAACCTACTTGTTGAGTTTACAAAGAAGTGTGTCATAAGACTTTCAAATATGACGATCAGTTTGTATGTCCCATTCCAATAACTTCCGCTATGGTAGCCACAACGCTTAATAGTAAAAATCACTTCAGCTAATACTTTAAAGTAAGCTAATATTGATCTACAAAACTGCGGGCTGATCACTCTGGTGTAGAGAAGCAAATTCTTTACATTCAGCGCATGGCGAGCGTATATCTTCAAAGAGTCCATTCTAGTTGCTCAGCGTACCGGCCTACGTACGGCAAAATTCTTGTGTTCATTGAGGCGCGATTATCAAACGTGTCTTGAATAAAAACTATAAAAATTAAGCTAAAAATTCCTTCCTCAACGACCCTAAATTATTGAACAACCTCCTGAGTTCCGAAACATTTATTTTTTAAGGAAAATAACATTCATTTTCGACCTTTGATATATTTTTTAAGTTATGATATTTTCGAAATCGTGTCTTTTATAAAAAGGGTTATTTCATTATTAGGCTAAGTTTATGCGTTTTGAAAAGAATAACCTACAAGAATAATAACAAAATATATATGCATGAAAGTCTAAACAAATAAGTGTTCCTTGTCTTATAACTCGACAATATTTAGTTTTTAACTCTCGTTTTTTGCAAGTAAAGAGAAAGATGAATACTATTTAAGCGCAATTGTAAAAAGTGATATAAATTCATATTTATCTGCGACAAATCGATCATTTCGATTGCTAAGTTTTTGGTATCACTCAAAACTCTTTATCGTATTATATTTGAATTGTTTGGTTTTTATAAATTCTCCAGAAATCAAAGCCACGCCAAGCCATCCTAATCAGACCTGCTAAGAATCTCTGAGGCTTGAGGTCGCTTTCGAGTCTTTTTCAATATTTACACGAACAAAAGACATACTTATCTCCGGCAGGAACGATAACATTCTTTCAGACGTGGGATGTGCTCAGTAGGCTGTATAACAGTACCACCACTGATCGACAACTAGCTGTCAAAGCTCGCCTACGAGATCTAATTCAACTCACATGTATTTACATAACTATTCAAATTTAATTATAGATTGTTCTGATGATGTTCCTTATTTATAATCGTCCATTGGAACAAAGAGAAAAGCTAAATGAAGACGATGATCAAGATTTGTCTTGCCGTCACTCTTGGCAACCGTAATTCATGGTCTGTTACCCTTATTTATCAATAAAAGCACGACCGGCGTGTGGACGAGAGCACTTTGGAAATTCTGCGAATATTGGTCACATACTCTTGGATTTTCGCTGCTATATTTCATACATTTTTTTCGTTAGATCTAAATGAAACCTGATATGACTTCGAGTACGAGAGACGCGGAAGAGGTTCATATGAATCATGCTCTCACCAATGGATACACCAATGGCTACACACTTCCACATCCTAAAACCTCCGAACCAATTCCATCGAGATTGACAGAATTAATGTTCGGATTCTGCGCGTCTCAGACATTGTTCGCTGCTTGTGAGCTGGGAATCTTTGATGCTCTTTATGCAACTGTACCACTGTCTGCTGAAGACATTGCAGAAAAGCTCTCCACAAACCAAGATGCCACTTGTAGGATTCTTGATGCACTAACTGGCATGGAGTTCTTAAAAAAGCATCAGTTTGCTTCTGGACCTGCTAAATACAGCAATATGCCCATAGCAGACAGGTACTTGACAAGTACTAGTCCTGAATCAATCAAGTGTTCCATGGCATTTGGTAGTAATGTCTTATATAATCTCTTTGGCAACCTACAATGTGCAGTACGGGAAGGTCAAAACCAATGGGAAAGATCTTTCAACCGATCTTCAGCTGAAGACTTTTTCAAAGATGTTCTTGCGACAAAAGAGGGATGTATTCGTCTTATGGAAGGGATGAGAGGAACATGCCGACCTGCTGCCAAGGGGGTGGTGAAGGCATTTGATTTGGGCAGCTTTGAGCACATGTGTGACCTAGGGGGTAAGTCTTACATAACTTTTGCTTTGACTATACATCAAGTAGGTCTATCTTCTTCACCAAAATAATCACTTGAAAATCTATCTTGAAAAATGTAAAAGATATCTCTGAAGTCATCCATGTTGGATGATGTAAAAGATAGCTGCTGTTCCTGTTATGTCATTTTGACGTTTTTTTGTTTTTTTTGTTTTGTTTTGTTTTTTTGTTTTTTTTTGTTTTTTTGAAGATATGCAATTGATGTTGCTGTCGTAATTACTGCTCGACCGGCGTCGCGTTTGTCTGAATGCGTTTTTGTTAGTTTCCGGTATAAAACAAAAATCCTTGCCAGAAACAAAAACTGGCATTTCACGAGAAGAACTGAATTTGCAATTAGGACAATGCAGCAAATACAAATAATTAAAGAAGGAGGATTTGGATCAAGGAATATCAAATCAAATCCGAGAAAATATGCTTAGAATCTCAGTTATTGGTGTCATACGTCCTCTCTATAATAATTGAATAACTTGTCTAGTTCAAGTTTTAATACTTCCACACTAACGGAAACAAATCTAAGTAAAAATACATTGTTCGTTGGAATCAGGATTACGTCAGCAAAAGCAAAATATTTGCTTAACGATTTGTCTAACCACAAATATTTGAATTATGTCACTAATACACTGCAGAAAGTTTTAATAATTTTACATTATTATTCAGAGTGAGTTCGTTGTGAAAGACTATACTTAAACATAGTTAACTGTGATTTAACGTAGCTGGACGAAGCAAAAATGGATGTATCAACAGCTAGTTTTCTGAAAAAAAGTTTATCAAACTCTACAAACTGAGACAGATTTTCCAATCCCGCCTTTTTAAAATTAACTAAAGCTCTCAAAAAAGTCTATACTACGTCAATACTTGAGTAATTAGAGCAGGTGACTTCACTTAACATTCTCTGAGTCATGAATTAATGTTTATATATTATCAAAAATAAGTAATGGTTCTTGAAATACTTGTCTGTCTCCGTCCCCCGCATTCTCAGAAACCATAAAATGCGTCATATTATTGATTGCATTTGGATACACTTTAGTTTGGCGTCACTGTAAGTCAACTTACTGTTCAAACAGATACATTGACAGGATGATTAATAGGAATCTCGATTGACGTACATATAAATTTTCCGTGTCTTAAGTCTGGGTTATATTTAGATTCTATAGATTGATGTGACTAATCACGACTAACTTCTTTTTCTCTCTTTTTTTTTTCTTTTCTTTTCTTTCTAAAGTTCTCTCGCTGTCGTTTTTTTTTGTTTTTTTTTTTGTTTTTGTTTTTTTGTTTTTTTTNTTTTTTTTTTTTTTTTTTTTTGTTTTTGTTTTTTTGTTTTTTTTGTTTTTTTTTTTGTTTTTTCTTACAGTTTATTGTTACAAAACCTTTCTTGATATTAACATTTTTCTATATTCCTAATTAGAATCTACCAACTTTGTCGTTTCCGATACACGGCATGAAAGTCGAATAAAAAATGTGTATAATTCCATAACGTCATGTTTTTGCCAAATCCACGTGTTTTATCCGTAATATTACATTGCCATGACTAAACGCGAAAGCCTCAAAGATATTAAATGTAGTGTACTTCGTGTGCAACATGGCTGGCAGTTTTGCAGCCTTGAATAGCCTTTTGTCTCTGTACTGAATGTTCAGCTCCAGTATGAAAATTTCGATAATAAAAATCTTAAGTTCTCTATTAATAATAGACAGCAATGGTAGGACACGAAAAAACATTCTAGGACTAGTATTCCGCAAAACTTTGCAAGTTTGAAAACCCCTATAGTGGCGAGTACGACTTCTACATTACCAGGAAAAGCTTCAATTTTATAGTCCTTTTTCACCAGTCTTACCAACTTTTTCTTTGTTAAACAAGGGTGTACCGGGGACGTTGCCTACGCTGCTTGTATGGTCTACCCTAACACGAAGATCACGGTGCTCGATTTACCACCAGTCGTACAGAATGCATCACACTTTAGACCTTCCATCCACGAGTGTCCAAACCAACACAATGTCACTTTTGTGGCGGGAGACTTCTTTGAGCCCACACTGCCAGCCGCTGACCTGTACGTGTTGACTCATGTTCTACATGACTGGGGCGAGGCAAAGATTGATGCTTTACTGTCAAATGTGTACAAGAACCTTCCTTCAGGTACCAGGAGAGTGTATTTAACAGATCACTAGTTTTTAGATAGCTTTTTTTTACTAACATAAATATAGCCAAACTCTATATCGAATGAGCAATGAGCATTCATCTTGGGTTTCCTGTGTCTATGGGACTGAACTGGGATTCGTCTTGGGCTTCCTGTGCCTAATTACGATTATCTTGGGTACTGATTGGACGAGAAATCTCCTAAGAATTGTGATTGGTTGACCGTGACCGTGGCTTGAGTTTTCATTCTAACCGAAATCTGTTTTTGCATTTTAGGTGGAGGGCTTCTCATTGGTGAATTACTCTTGAAAGAAGATAAAACAGGGCCCTTAGTAGGCGTGCTGGCCTCTTTAACAATGCTCGTGCTCTGTGACAAGGGAGCGCGCGAGAGATCAGGACAAGAGTACAAACAGCTGCTAGAAAAACATGGTTTTGTCGATGTGCAGTACAAGTACACTGGAAACTCCTTCATGGACGCTGTTTTCTGTAGGAAACCTTGAATACAATTCCAGCGGTCACTGGGTCCAGGGGATTTCGCTTCTCTCAGCCTAAACGAATTAGCCAATCAGTGAACATTTCGCTCGTAGTTCAATGCTTCCTATTTTTCAGGAATTTTTAATAAACAACAGTTTTTACTTGAAAATAAAGAAAATATAATTCATCCCTGGAAAGATTCACCGAATAAGCTTTAGAAAAAGCTTTTTTTGTCGTTGTTTAAAATATTTCGTTTTTACGAGAGATAATAGAAAGTACTTGGAAAATTTCACTGTGACGAATTTCCTTTTATTCAAATTTGTATTTCCTCATGAGAATAGTAAAACAAATGGTGCTGATTAACTGAACAAAACAAAGTGTGCAAGGGATTTTGGTAGTTTCTGGGGGCACCTTATTTTCTGTTGGTAATATGGTGTCAAGAGAAAAAATCTTATAGATACTTAAAACATTAAAAATATCATTTGGAGCAATAAAGCAATTATATATTGCTGTCAAACCACACACAGCACACACTGAACTTTGTTTCAAGACTGATCGAACCTTGCCAGCTTGGGCCAAGAGAGAACGAACTGTATCAATAATGTTTTTCTCATTTCAGACCACGTTTCATTCTCTTGAGAATGAAATTCTTTGTATGAGTCGTATTCATATTCATGTGTCTTCTCATGTGCACAACCATTAAACAAAGAAATGACACTCTAGGGAATGAGACGGCGTGGTCTATTGTCAATCACGAGGGTTCGTTTTAAACATGATAACCATTCGCACGAGCTAGCACTGGACCTTGAATGCTCGATTGTGACATCAGAGAAGAAAAAAAATAGCTAAAAAATAATGCTTGTACATGGGAATTGCAAGAATGTTCTCAACGAATAGAATGTTTTGATGATAAATGCCAAATATGACCTTTTATCATGTAATTTAGGTGATGCAAAATTCCCTTCTGTTCACACATACGACATATATATTAATACTGTTTCAATTCAGCCGCTGCGCTGATCGAAACGTACTTGTTTACCTGGTCCAAGAATTCAAGAATCGAAGAGAGCCAAGAAGAGACACTTCAAAAAGCCCCAGTGGTAATGTCATCTGTTGGTGACCTACCTTCGTTGCCACACAAAGTTATCGAAATTCTTCACGGATTTTGTGCATCTCAGAGTTTATTCACGGCTTGTGAGCTGGGAATCTTTGATGTTCTTCATACTGCTGGAGTACCACAGTCTGCCAGCAAGATAGCAGAACAGCTCTCTACCAACCAAGATGCCACCAGTAGACTACTGGATGTTTTGGTCAGCCTGGAACTGTTGGGAAGACAGACTAGTTCCACAAGCGAGCACGTCTACTCTAACACAGCTTTGGGAAACTTACTCGCAAAGGACAACCCGTCCTGTTTCCATGAATATGTGACGTTTGTTAAGGACGTAAACCTACGTCAAATGAATAACCTCAGCTTTGCTGTTCGCGAAAAGGAACCAGCCAGTGGCATCGTACCTTTAATACAGCTACCAAGGATGTCGATAAGAATCTATGGTCGAACCAAGAGGTACTTCTCCCGTTCTTCCAAGGCATGCGGGGAAAAGTCAAGTTATTTGCCCCAATTTTCATGTCTTCATTTGATTTGAGTCGTTTTCAGCGAATGTGCGACTTGGGAGGTGAGCAAAAATATCCAAGATATTTTTTCTATAAATCTGTTTTAAATCACTTTTTAGACGAAGGGTATCAAATTCGGTCCATGCTGCCATAGAATAATGCATTAGGGTGAGGGCTGGGAGGGGTAACGATAAGGGAAATACTTTTCCTTTTCTATTTTCCTATCCCCAATACAACTGATAACGTTTCCCAGCAAAACAGGCTTAAAACAAGCTAGTCATGGTGCCCCACCCATGCTCGTCTCTAGTAAATGTTTGATTTATATTTGAACATCACAACAGGAGGTACTGGTAACGTTGCCTACGCTGCTTGTATGGCCTACCCTAACATGAAGATCACGGTGCTCGATTTACCATCAGTCGTACAGAATGCACCACACTTTAGACCTTCCATCCACGAGTGTCCAAACCAACACAATGTCACTTTTGTGGCGGGAGACTTCTTTGAGCCCACTCTACCAGCCGCTGACCTATACGTGTTGACTCATATTCTACATTTGTTTACTGATGACAAGGTGGACACTCTGTTGGCAAATATATTTGCCAACCTCCCATCAGGTAAATCTTTTTCCGTTGTCGTGTACATGTTTTATTTGCAGATTGGCTCATGTTTTTATGAGCATTTGATCGCTCACAGCTGGTTAAAATATTACATAATGCAAAAATTGAGTAGACCTGTCAAGTTTGGCATGAGTTGTACTGTATCTTACTGATAGCATCGTCATATGATTGGATGTTTGCTTGACAATGAAAAGCCATATCAATATTACAGCATGTCGTAGCGTGTACGTGAAGTAACTCGTTCCTCCCCATCTGCAAAACGAAACTCGGTCTGAAGTATGAACACAGTAAGATGTATTTTGATATATACTATTCCCAGTATTCCCAAAGATTTTTCTCATCCTGATGTTCACACTCATCGTCTGAAGTGGTTTTATAGTTCAAGTCATTCAATTTTATCGTTCTAACTGAACTATCTTTCATACAGCATGTACAGGAGATAACAGTTGTTGATATTCATGATGATGTATTTCTTTCAGGTGGAGGTGTTTTGATTGGAGAAGTCCTTCTTTACGATGACAAGTTAGGTCCATTATACAGTCAGTACATGTCTCTGGTCATGCTTTTGGCATTTGATGGACGTGAGAGGTCTGGACTGGAGTACAAGCAGCTGTTGGAGAAACATGGTTTTAAGGATGTCCAATGGAAGTACACCCACACCAACAGTCTTGATGCTGTCTTGGCTATCAAACCTTGAACTTATCTTCTTGTTCAATGCATTCTAATCTATAAGTGATTTATGACTCAGTACAGCATCAGGGCCATAACCAGGGGGCGGGGGAGCACAGGGTGCACGTGCACCCCCTATAAAAGCTTAAGGTCCGCTCATCCATCTCCTTTTTTTTTCTTCTTTTTTGGTTCTGCGTTCTTTTGGGTTACCTTGTTTTTCTTTTTGGTTCTGCAAATTATTGCCTGTGGTCCGATTTTATTCGATGTGCACCCTCCCTGTAAAAGTTCTGGTTACGGCCCTGAGCATTGGATTTTAGGACTTATTTCTATTTTGACTAATTATAACTTTGACTAAAATTTTATTTTATGATGATGATGATGATGGTACATTTAAATTTTGGGATCTGGCGTCATGATTTGTTTGTATTCTCTGGACTTTGAACTGAGTAGAGAATAAGTATTGATTAGAGCTATCGCTATCGCTTGCTCCAGGACAAGAGCTGTCAACCAGCTGAAGTCAAACAGCCAACAACTCCAACAAGCGATTTCGGCGTGGTATTTCCCCTCTTTTTGCTCTTGTCTTGGTACTCAATTTTATATAGGTTCTCTGAAAATAATTCCCCATAGTTGAATTAAAGTATATATATCATCAATGTGATTTCTTAGCTACTTAATAGTTTAGAATGAGCTAAACTTGCCAAACAGCAGAACAACAGCACGAATTTCGGTTAGCATTGCATCCAGCTGAAAAATTTCAACGTTTGAATATTACTGACGTAAGGAGCATCGCGCGGTCGCGTTGTTGTTGTTAGTACAAACAGAGTCAAGTACGGAACAGCCGTTAAAGAAGTAACGCTCATCGGCTATTCAAACCGTTTGACCTTTGGAAGAAAACGTCTGCATTATAACAGCGAAGGAACACGGACACAAAATAAGTAAACAAATATATACGTTTAATTTAATTCAAATAATCGAAAGGAAAAAAAACTATAGAAATCCAACAACATTCGGTGTCCTAGTGCCCTTGGACTGTTTTTGTGTTTTCTACGGCCTTCATTTTGATTCATGTTGACAAAATAAGTTTTAAGGTTATTCTTTTCAACACCTTCGTGGTGTCGTTGGTAATCAGTCTTAAGTAAATATTGGCTGAACCAAAAGCCTCAAGCAACAAGCCAAGACCGCAGAGAATGCCGGTACTTTTAGCTGTAATTAGTTTATTTATGGTGCATTTTCATTTATTGACTTCACAACTTGTTCCAAGCAAGGCTGCTTGAGATGATCATTAGTGGAGAGCTATAGCCACTTGCATGAACCATAAATAAATCAATTATAATTAAGAGTACCGACGTTCTCTGGAGCCTTGGCTTGTTACTTGAGGCTTCTTGGTGCGACAACGATTTTCGAAATAGGTGTATATATAACGAAGGAGACACGCGGACTGGCATAAGTGATTCTTTGAGATTGAAATGGCATCTTCAAAGCCTGTCAATGATAGCTCCAGCATGGGCCCAGTGCCCCAAAAGCTCTTTACCTACCTGTATGCGTTTGGTGTATCTCAGAGTTTATTCACGGCTTGTGAGCTGGGAATCTTTGATGTTCTTCATAATGCTGGAGTACCACAGTCTGCCAGCAAGATAGCAGAACAGCTCTCCACTAACCAAGATGCTACCAGTAGACTACTGGATATTTTGGTCAGCATGGAACTGTTGGTAAAACAGACTGGTGCTACAGACGAACCTGTCTATTCCAA